CGCGTTGCAGAGATAGACTATAATGCAGGTGAGAAACAGGAAAACACAGAATGACATGGAAAGTCGAGGAGCATCAAACATACTTCGCTTGCAGACCTCTAGGAGAAGTTGCACATCCGTCTGCAGTGATTCGGGTTCGTCGGGAAGCGTAATGTTACCACCTGTGCCTGCCGTCGCACCGTCGGACGTATTTTGGTGCACCCATCGTTCCGCGCTCACGCGGTGGTCGATGTAAACTGCGGAACATTCGAGGCGATCCATGGTGTCAAAGGGTGCGCTCATTCGCCCGGAGCTTCCAGCCGATTACTACTCACAAGAACCAGAGGAAGCTGAGATAAAGGAGAGTTGTTGCTGGTTACTAGGTCTGAACTTGGTCTCATATGGGAGACAGCCAAGTGTGTCGCAGGGGAGGCAGGATCCTGGATAAACGAACGACAGGTGGACTGTACACCACGGACACGGGCTGGAGTAGATTGAACGCGAAAGGAGAGACGTGCGATTTGAATCGAAACTAAATCCTTCGGCCTAGAACGTGGCAATGGATCAGTACATCAGATACCAACGGAGAGCCAGGGTGGGCGCCAGGGGTAAGCAATCGGGCGACGAGGAGACAGAACGGCAGGAAACAGCGACAGTCCACGACGGAGCCATGCGATGCGCCCTCAAACAATGAATTTGTTCGCTGTAGTTGTCCGGCCAAAGATCGGTCCAGTGGTCTCCAGTGGGCCGGCAGAGGTCGTTCAGACTCTCGGGTTTGTTTGAGACAATCCGATTCCTTGTCCCGCCGCGGGTTTCCAGATCGGCCGACCGCAACACCACCGCTACCCATATAGAACCACTCACAGTCTAAGAAGCCGAATAGTAATCGGGAAACGGGTCGATGGAGAGAGGGGGAGAGTTGAGAAAGGAGGTTGTCGGACAGAAACCAACGGTCCGTGTTGCGCGGCGCAGGACACTCAGGTGGACTCGCACGGGGCGAAAAGCGCCGATGGGAACCGCTCAAGGGTTTAGACCAGATCGCGACACATCCACGATTCGGCGAAACAGTAGTGATGGAAAATCGAGAGAGATCCAGAAGCGGCTGAAGTTAGGGCGTCATGGTGGGCCAGCGACAGGGCCGCACGGAGAAAAGATGACACGAGACCTTGGTGGAGAGGGAGGGATCGATCGGAAGGAAGGGTGGGTGGTCGCACTAGGGGTCTCGCTGGCTAGCGATACCGAAGCACCACGATCGGTCGGCGCGAAAGGAGATGAGGGGAAAGTGGACCGACAAGGAGATAGGGAGTGATGGAGAACGACGCAGCGCAAAGAAGCGACCGATCGTTCAGGGTGAGAGGGAGAACGAAAAGGGACTAGACAAAGGGGACCTCCACGATCTGGACAGACGATCGAGAGGGGGAGGGAGTAAAGGGGATGAGGGTCGATCGAGCACGTTTTGGGGGGTGGCGGACACAGGGAAGGGAGAAGGAGAGAGAAAAGGGAAGAGAAGATGTTGTCAAAGATGATGAATTCCTGACCAGACGGAAGAAAGAGTAGAGACGAGAGGAGAGGGGAGAGAGTAGGTAGGTAGGTAGGTAGGTGGAGAGGGTCCTTGGAAAGTGGAGGAGTGTAGCAGCAGGAGGAGTAGTCAGAAAGCGGTTCGAATGTTCGATGGAAGTGCCTCAGAGGCTTTTCTTTTCCCCCCTTCGCTTCTTTCAGTCTTCCAGAAGGTCGCGGCACGGCGGGTGCGGGCGTCGTCAGAGACTCGGCGCTGATCCGGGTTCTTTTTCTTTTTTAACTTCTTTTTCCTTTGTTCCCTTTCTTTTTATTATTCTTATTTATGGTTTATTATTTATTCTATCCAATAACCCGATTAATTGATCATAAATTAATCTTGATTGTATATTGATATACCTACCTAATATACTATATGTATAATCTGCTTTACCTCGTATTTTCGATCGGTCTTTAGAATCATATGGAGTGATGTCGCCATCGCGGGATCATACCAGGGAAAAAAAAATTTCAAAATTAAATTCTTAGGTTTGGGCACGCATTATTTGTGTCTTCCACTGTCTTCCACCACCATCATCAGTTCATAATGTTGGTTATTATGTTGTTCCTTACGGAGAATGACGACCCATCAGATACCTACCTAACTCTGTACTAGATATTTCCCCTCAGGCCAATAGAGGGCTGCAACACGAAGTACCCGATCCTGGTGTGCTGCGCGTCCAATCCTTTCGGGCGCCGAATGTAAGGAAGAGCACTAGAACTTTGACGAACCCAGTGGGGCAGTCACTTCTTTTATTTTATTATTCTTATAACCCTTACTATCTTTTTTACAAGGATAAAAAGAAAATCCCAATAACATGTGAACAGAATAACAATGTATACTAAAAAAAAGTCCCCATCATGCACAATAAATCCATAGACAGCCTTTTCTGATCGAAAATCGAACAAAGGAAGAAAGTCCCGAAGCAAGATAAGGTGACCGGAGAGAGTGGAGCAGATGACGCTTAAGCAAGCGATCTCATTAGTTAGCTCCGTGGGTAATTTTTCTAGAAACCGCCGGGAAATTCACATCGTGTAGTGTCGGACACCCCAGCAGCACATAAGTAACTAACTCAAGATTAGAATTCAACACTGCCTCAATGACCCATCCTGGATCAACCACTTCTTCCCCTTCAACGGAACCCTCATAATCCCGAGTACTCCGTCCTCAGTAAGCTCATGATTATGATCATGCCTCGCTGTTGAGGCCGGGTGGCAACCGCCTCTGACGTCGACGCCGGGTGCGCCTCGCACGTAAGTCTGGTTCGATGATGTGATGATCGACCAGTCTCTCCTTACGTTCTATTGTACAGATACTGTTTAATCCAGGACTAACTAGTTAGGTAGTAGTAGTCCGAGTAGGAGGATAATACCTAGTTAGGTACCAGGTAAGACTCTGCCTAAGACCAAAGAGAGACGGAGCACGATCGCTCGGGCGATGGACCAATGAGCCGGAGACGGTCGGAGATGCGACGGGAGTCACATTCCTTCCATTCTTCGTTCGTTGATGTCCTCCCTCACGCAAGGAGCCGGCCGTCCTTGCGACACACGCACACCCTACTTTACTACTCCTTCGAGCATCTTCCATTTTATCAATCTTGGATAAATAAATATACGAAGGATGTATCTATTTCGTTAGGTACTCCTAGATACCAGGACACGAGGATCATAATATCCTTGTTCTCGGTCTAAACTAAGAATAGAATTGTGCTCCGGACTCCCTCCCCACTGTCGGGTCCAACCCCTGCCGACCAACCCAGACCCTGCGTGCCAGACACAGCTGGAGCACGGGGATCGCATCCTCCCAGTGCAACCTGACAGCGCTAACCATCAACTTAGGTCGTACCAAGTAGGTAACTATCCTTTTTTCATGTACTATCCTGCGCGGTGGCCTGTATGTATCTGCAGCTCGGGCCCGGGGCCAATCACAACTCCCGGCCAGCGCCGAGCGGTTCTCATCTCGCCTGCATATCAGGGATACCGTTCTATACTAATTCCCCTGGAAGCCCTTCGGAGGAGCTGCAGTATCGATGGTAGGCACATCCTCATCGGCCCAGCGAGACTACATCGATAAGGTACCCCTGACCGGCCGGCCTGCATCCGGACCTACTACGGGATTTCTTGCCTGCACCTGTAATTACTCTGTACTCCGTAGGCTACCATGCCGATCTCCCTCTCTCTGGCCAGACCTAGGGTCTCGGTAGGGATACCGTGGCCGACTGACTCGAAGTAGGTCCTTGACCCCGCATTCCCTCCTCGGCATGGTTATGGTCCTTTTGAGACCTCTCTACGCCAGTTCGGATACAATAGAATATAGGTAGATTCAATGTCTTATTATGATATCACGCTAGCGATCAATGCAGCACACCGGTAGGACAAATCATCCCGGTGGGGTGGATCATGCCGCCATGGTTGGCTTTCAAATCCGCCGCCCAACATGCTCAGAAGCCGATAGAAGTATAACTCAAAAGAAAACAGAATGGGTAGTAACGGCACAGCAAAACCTCACGAAACAGAGCATTGTAAGCAATTCTAATCCAATAGCCCCAACCCCTTTTTGACATGCAAACACAGAAAGGAAAAGCGCAAGGAAACAAAACGTCGTCCCTGTAATGACAAAAGGGCTATCATACAATTCTGGATTATTCGAAGACTCCCCCACTCGCTAAGAGAGTAGATTCTTGAGGGACGGGCTGGCACTCGCACCGGACCCGCCACCATTGGCCCCGCTGGTACCGCTGGGGTTGCGACCACCACTCAGCGGCCCAGATGAACTCGGCGTCTCTTCGATCTTGGTCGGGGGCGTTAAACCGCGAGGATCGACTGGCGCCTGCGATACCGGCGGTGATTGCGTAGCAGGGCCCAGTACCCGGTCAACCGAATACACACGTGAGGGTGCCCCGCCGTTCAACGCACTGAGAGAATGCGGTGGGGAGTGTCGGACCATCGTCGCTTGTACGTCGGGGGGCGAGGCGGATGGTGCGTACGCCCGAGCGCCCACGGCGTGCGAGGGATGAGGTGAACGCAAGGGGACCGGCCCATACGGGCTCTGGTGTGTCGAATAAGGCTGAGGAGGAGGGGGATGGCCGCTACTACCGGTATAGGGCGGGGGAGGCGCGTGATGTGGAGGAGAAGGTTGGTAGCCGTTCATGTGGTGTGCAGGAGCAGAAGGCCCAGTACGATAGGGCGGCATGGTCATGCCATTGCGAACCTTGCTCTCGCCGTAATCACTGGAGCGTTGATCGTAGCTGGGGTAACCCCATTCAGGCCCACTGGGCGTGGGGCCAATCGGCCGCGGGAGGACTCCGGGCTGGGAGGGGTGGCTATGCGGTCCATATGGATGGCCGTGGTATTCTGAAAGCCGCGGAGCCGGAAGAACCGGACGTTGCGCCGAATATGGGGATGGCCTGGGTTCCGGGGAAGGCTGAGATGTTGTTACCTTCTTCAGGTGGCATTTATGACATTCGTAAGCCGTCTGGGATGGCCCATCCGCCATGCCCACTGGTCCGTTCCGATCCGCGGGGCTGTAATCTCCATTGAGCTTCGGCAGAGAGTGCTGGGATGGGTTCCGAGCAAGGTATGGTGGGCTCGCTGAGGAGGAAAATCTGGCTCCAGCCGCGTCATTCAGGCCAACTCCATTAAGCAGGGGTGTTCGATGATCCACCCGACGGTATTGCTCAATAGGCCACCACCTCGGACTGTATGCCGTTGAGCAGTGCACGCATTTCCTGGCCACACCTGCCCCATCCAGTTGAGGAGGGAGACTTCGGTTCTCGGAATCGACTGCCATCTCGTCCGGCGCGGGTGATGTCCTTGATCCCTTGTGACCTTCCTTCGCAGCAGTGCCATTGACAGTCGATGCGCGCCGGTGCGACGTGCCGGGCTGCGATACACCGACAGACTGTTGGATATGGGTCGCCCTGCGGACCGTTCCCGTCAGACTGAGATCCGCTTGCTTATAAGCTTGGACGTATCGTTGGAGCGCGTTGACGCCCTCTTCCTCGGTGGCTTCGCCAATGGCATGAACTGATGGAGTTGTATGATGAGGACACCAAATTCCGGCTGAAGCGACCCCGGTCTCCTCTCCAAGGCGCACGCTGCTGACAGTATCCCTCCGAGAGCTCTTCACAGGGGCGATGTCAAAGCCGAATGTATACTTCGCCTGAAAAGCACAGCCGATGTGGAAGTGGGCATTGCAGCCGCTAAAATGACACGGTACACAAGCCCCCTTGCTCGATTTGCAGACCTTGCAGACCTCTCGGTACTTCTCCTGAGGGATCAATCCAAATCCTTCAGCGGGCTCGAGTTCTTTGGCGCTGCCGAACTTGATTTCTGGGGTCCAAACGGCACAAATGACATGGACCCAGTTGTTACCGGCAGTTCGCTTGAGTGGCTCCCGAGGCCCGATCGGTTTGCCAACCGCCTCTTGTCTTTGACGATATAGCTTGATAGCCTCGTTGACCATTTCTTTCTCGAGTCTCTCCTTCTCCCGATCTCGCTCCGTCTTTTTCCTGTTCGTCGCAGGCTTGGGAGCCTCCATCAGCTCATGTTCGGTCCAAGACACCGGACACAAGACACATTCATAGCAAGTCGAGATCATGGGGTTCCTATCGTTGGAGCACATGTCGCACAGCCACTTGGCGCAATTTCGCGATGGGCTAACACCGTAACAGCTCCGGTGAACCGTCAGGCGGCAATCTCTGCAAGACAAATGTTGGTCGCCACCAGGCTCCATCTTGTTGCAGATAGCACAGGGAAGTATCTTGGCCTTCGGGGGATCTGGTACAATCGGGGGCGGTGGTTCTTGCACCTTTTCGGGGACGGCTTTCTTCTTCGGGGGTGGCTCGACCGAGGTAGCTGTCGAAGTTGCGCCACCGTCTTTCTCCTTCTCCAATGTCCGGCCCCTCTTCTTCGTGTTCTCTTGCTGCACTTGCGGGTTGGCGTTTACTGGGACACCAATAGCAGCGGCAGTGGCAGCAGTCGCGGGGTTGATACTAATCGGCGTCTCAGTTGACAGAAGCAGCTGTGTCAACAGCTCTTCATCCACGCGTCGACGCCAGGATTTGTTTCCACTCTGCGCAATCTTCTTGGCGACCTCATCGACGCTCTCCCACTGGATGCCGTATTTTCTCCAAAGCAGGCCACAGCGTAAACAAAGGGCGACCGTTAGTTGGGGCCCCTTATCTCGTTGCCTAGAGTTCGGTTCGCTTGGTGTTGTGGTGCCAGGTGGGACACCAGGAGCGCGACGCCACTGTCGTGAGGTTCGAGTTGAGCAGAACTTGCATTGAAAACCACGTTTCTTCTCTTCGGCTTTATCGTTATCGAACGCGGAGTCATCCTGATCGTCGGCCACATCGTCCACCAGCTTCGCCGCGGTGGTGCGCTTCGCCTCCTTCTTGCCCCGTCTTCCTTCATAATTACCCCAAACTTGACGGCCGCGGGGGGTTTTCTTCCACATGTAGTAGAAGCGCACAATTTGATAGTGCGGGACGGTACCGACATGCTTGGTGATATTGCGCCACTCGGACCCGTATTTCGCGACAGCCTGTTCGAACGCTTTGATCTCTTCCGGGCGCAGGTGGGGTTCCTTCAGGTCTTTGAACTTGTTCATCTGCTTCAATTTCACCAGAGCAGCCTCAACATCGAAGCTGTTAGCGTAGAGAAGCTCTAAAGCCTTGTCTAGGAAATTCGTGGAATACTTTTCCACGCCCAATTCGGGAGCCAATTCCTTCGCACGGGCCATATATTCATCAATGAACTTCTCCCGATCAGTGGGACTCAGATCAGATCCCGGTACATCGTCCTCGCCTCTCGACGGAATCTGATCCGGCTCGGGCATCTTGAACATCAACTCGGCTGTCCGCACCTGCTTGCCGTTCACGGTCACTGGCTCGTCTTCGCCTCGGTGAATGTACCCAGGGGGCTCATCCATTACCCATTTCGGCCGATTTGCTTTCTCTTGTTTGGCGGCTTCGATTGCGGCAAGCGCCTCTTTGGACAGTCTGACCTCCCTGCGGCCTCCAGGAGTTCGCACGTACTTCTTCTTGATGTCAGGTGGTTTGACGTATTCCACGGGACGGCCGTGCCACGGGATTACCATGGCCTGATGTCGTGGTCCTAATCGAGAACTGGCGCGAGGGTATATACGGTCATCATAGTCCAAAGCGTCCTCCACACGACAGTGAATTCCGAGGTAGCGATAAGGCCACATTCTGGCCTGGGCCATCTGCTCTTCGGTTGCCGGTCGGACTTCTTCTTCCACTGGAGCAGGCGTACTCCCCGCAGTGCCATTCGCAGCGGCATTAGGGTCCTCTTCTTCTTCCTCGACGATTTCCTCTTCCGCTTCTGCGAGAGTCTCGCCCAGAATGGGGGTGTTGCGGGCCTCGAGCTTTCGTTCTTGGGCGCGACTACAGGCTGCACACGCCCAGGCGAATCCTCGAGCGGGCTTCTTCGTGAGGACCGGGCGCACACAGTACATATGATACGTGTCATGGCACACAGCACAATCGACGGAATCAGTGCTATGTGGAACTAGATTAGTGTAAACTGTCCAGATGATGCCAGTAAGGATGGTACATACCTCGCAGCATATAGACCACATCGCTTGCAAGTTTTGACAGCGCTTGTCAACTCCTTGCGCTTCCCGATTTCGACCAGGACGAATTTCCAACGGTCATCAAGGACCTTCTTCACATTTGCCGGGACATTGATGACCCTCTTTGTAGGGATCACTTCGTAATAGCGATGAATATACCGATCGAACATCTTGTCGTACCAAAAGCAATCTCGCGTCTTCCGATACTCGTCGAGATCATCGATCTCTGAAAGATGCTTTATTTGGCACTTTCCCCGCAGCGAACCAAGCGGACATGTATCGGAATGCATGGATGCAAATACAAGTCTGGAGTCCGCCACTTTACGCTGGATGTCACGTGGCCGGTAATACCAGTTTACCCGTAAGGCCTCGATCGGCCCCGAAGGGTTGTCCTTGGAAGGGAGGAACTCCATGATGCGTGCCAAATAATATGGCTCCCCTGGAGGTTCGCAGATAAGATAGACATGATCTAGATGAACGCCTCAGTAAGAATTGTTGGCTAGAGATTAGGATCGCGGACAAGGGGCGTCAAAATAATACTGACCATTTACGGCAAACGTGGAGCCATCATCAGCTTTCAGCTGCCCATCGTTCAAATAAGCCCCATGCGTCTCGAAAGAGACCATATTGGAGCAGATGTCGCCCACGGTGGCGCTGGGGGCCGCCGTGAAAATCTTCTTTGTCGCATTCCCATTAGCAGATTGAGAGTTGGCCGAGCTCGCCGGCTGTTTCCGTTTCCTGGAGCTGGAGGAAGACGCGTTGGCTTCATCGGACTTTGTCGAGAATGAGGATGTGCCTGGAATGGCATCCCGGGCGGCGGCAGCGGCATTGGTCCCATTCACCGCTGTTTGATTTTTTCGGGAATTTGACGATGAGTGAGGTTTTTCGCCATCTGACCTGGAGCCGTTGAGTGTGTTGTTGGCACCGACGCCACTACTCCGTTTGGCGGACTTTGAGGGCGCTGGGTGGGCGATCTCCAGATCCATGTCGATATCACGGTCCTCGGCGTAATTGGGGCGAGGAGCCGCATTTCGACCTCGCGAACGAGTGCCATACGGCGCAGGCGTGGCGGAGTTACTAGGGGGCTCCGAGGGGCCAGGCTCACCAGGCGATGCGCTGGCAGTCATGGGCTGGGATGGGGGTGGTTGCAAATCATCGACGACGGGGGTCTCCTGGGGGCGTGAAGAGTCGGGAGAACCCGTGCGCGACGATGGGACAGTGGAAGCAGCAGCAGTGGCAGAGGATGGCGGGTTAGGCCTCACGTGGTGCGGTTGCTGTGATTTCTGGGGCGGTGACCTATCGGAGGCCATGACCAACCCTCAGGCGCGCGCGAGAAGAAAACAAAACTAAAAAATGGGGGTTGGGGGTGGGAGGAATCAAAAAGGCGGCGGAGGTTCCAGATAGGGCGGAACACGAAAAAGCGTCTCGCACACGGGGAGATTAGACGTAATGCTGTTCAGCAACGGGCCGTGATGGGGGGTGGGAGGCGATCCCTCATCAGAAAGTTGGGTTCACAGTTGGTAAGGTAGTTTGAACAACGGCATCGGCCGAGTACCAAGAAAGAAAGAAGAAAATCTCCTGTGGCGCAGATGGGGTGCCTATCGACAGCCTGTTGGAAAACAAGGCGCAAGGCCCAATCGCTTCTGTCGGTGATGATGATGGTGAAAGTCTTCTGGTTTCCTCTCCTTCCCCAGTCGTGGCCACTTTTTTTCTTGGCCTGGTTTCTTTCTTAGCTCCTGCGGATTTCCGCAAGGGTGAAGAAGATCCGTAGCGGATCCAATGCTGAGAATGGCACAAGAGGCTCGGATATCAAGATCGACGACCTCCCGGAAACAACCAAATCGCGGTCCTACGTCGGACGGGAAGGGGATCAAGAACCCAGATCACTGGGATGAAAATCAGAGGCGATGAAGTGACAGTAACGCGGCCAATATAGCTAAGAAACAAGGAGAAGGAATCCAGTGGCTCTTGAGGCAGGGGAGTCAAGCAGGGCCACTGAGGCTATCGGAAAGTCAAACGAAGAGCAACGTAAGAGTCACGGTCAGGCCAGAGACCGTCAGAAGAAGGCAAAGAGACAATAATGAAAGCGATATGTCTTGCAATACTCCGCCCAAATGAAGTTGGTGCAGGTCAGTGGGAAGTCGATCAGTTCGTAGATTACCCAGATAGACTGGGCCAGGACTGACGAACTAATGAAACGAAAGGAGACGGGAGGAATGGATGAACAGGTCGAGCATAAGAAAGGGAGGTGGGGATGTGTGGAACGAGGGAAAGAAGGATGAAGGGGGGAGGAGATAGTAGATAGTAGAGTCGGGGAGGAAGAGGAGGAGAGGGAGGAGGAGGAAGAGAAGAAGAAGAAGACAGGCCGATGAAGAAGAACAAGAAACACAAGAAGGGAAACGCGAAGAAAGAGAAGAAAGAGAGAATCAGGAAAGCCGTCGAGGATCCCGACCAGTCCACGTCCTCGCCCCTAGTCCCGATGTGTTAATATGACGGATCCTCCATCCACCATGAACCAAAGAAATTCCCCATTCCTCTTGTCCCTGCTGTTCGTTTTGATTTTGGCCTGGACGTCTTTCTCTTTATTCCTGGGCGATCTCCCTTCCCACGATGATTCCCATCGGGAGGTGCAGGCCCTGTCGAGTTCGGGATAGGGTCAAGCGTCCCGGTGGTCTGGATGAGTTAACTTCTTCCCGCGCCGTTAGAACGGAGAGAGGCGGAGGGGTGCATCACGATTATTGAATTTTTGGAGGGGGACCCTGATTATTTTCCTTATCACCGCTTCCCCTTGCTCTTCCTAGACAGTGTGGGATGATCTATGTAGTTACTGGGTTTAGCGGGAGGGCATCAGTATCACCGACTAACTACTACTGCCACTACGGTGGCTACTACTACTGGTCCTGTTAGAAACGGATTGTGTGGGCCGAGCGGCCCGGTAGGAAGAATAACGATGAGACGAATAGTTCGGGGAGAGGGGCACGGAGGAAGAAGGTCAGCCTATTATGCCACGGGATACGCGACAAAAACAATAAAGAATCTCCAGAGGGTTAAAGAGATCAGAGAAGGCTCAGAAGCGAAAGAGTGTAGCAAAAATAGGAAACAATGATGCACGCTTGAACGTCCTTGCCCAGGTACCGAGTATCGCCCGTCCAGATGGCCGAAGGAAGATGGTTTGATTCGCGGTGGTAGCCCTGGTACCTTCGGCTCAAAGGCCGTCTGGTCAAGGCGCCATAAGTGGGTGCCTAGGTGGTTAGGTAGGTAACTTAATGAAGGGAGAGCCACGGCCGGAGGGTATGGATACACAATAATAATAACCTGTGGCAGGAATGTTGTCACGTAGGGCAGCGCATGCAGGCTGGATCTGGAAACCCAAGCGCCAAGTCTATCGTGGATGTGGGCTGAAAGGATCCATGAACCCCTCGATCATGACAATCGCGATCATAATCCGTTGTATCTACAACTGGAAGATATTGTTACGATGGAGACAAAGAAATGTCTTGCCTTCGAGTCAGTTTGTGGACGATGTTAAGTATGAACAGAGAGACTCAGAGTGCATATAACACTATTACGAAACCTACCACATGATTCATTACTTACCCGCCTATTTGTTCCCCTATCAAGACGTAATCCGATCTCTCAACCCCATCATAATATTCAAACTTTGATGTTTTCATGATTGGCTATGCATGAGATCATTTGGTGACCAGCATTCACCGGCGTGGATTAGTGACCTATTCCTGTCCTCATTGTTTCAGCACACAAACGATCTGAGACAGATAAAGGACAGTCATCAAGAGACATTGATAGAAAAGCAACCCCAGCAACCAGGTATGAAAATGAAAAATGAAAGCGACTCTAATCAAAATGCAAAGGAAATTCAACGAATGACTGTCGAGAGACGGGTTCTGGTCAAAGGATCTCAAAAGCAACAACGCCCTCTCTCGATAATTACATAGCTACCTTTTTACCCTGGGCACGCAAAAGGGAAAGAAGAGGGGTATCCCACAGAGTGGTCCTGTACGACCAAAGCGTCTTGTCTTGAAGGCGTGGAAGTTGAGTGGATGGAGGCCTACTGAAAAGGGAAAGGCTCCTAGTTTACACGACCGAAAACTCGGTTCAACAACACCACGGTAAAAACGGAGTAGGGTGTTGAGTCCCATGGCTCCTTTGTGGCCTGCAGTACTGACTAACCGTTCACTAGTAGCGATTTAGCATGGACACGGTAGATCCTTCGATGCAGTTTCGTCCTTATGCAGACCTACGGCTTTGGTCGCCCTAGTTCACAGATACTGCTTGCGTGATGCTTACGGGAGACAAAATATCATTGTTGATATTATTGGTTCGTAACCTACCCTCGCTACAGCAGGGTCGGACGACAGAGTGGGAGGACCGAGGTGATGATAACACAGGGAGAAACCCTTAGTGTGGTTATTTTATGTAGGATATGGCACTACTGGGTCCTCCCCGCGAGAGCGGGCCATTTCAACTCTTGGCCGTCTCCCAAAGGGGGATGGACATCTACTACTCCGTACGTATGATGACAGCATATCCACGGGAATAATTGAAACCGTGACGACGGGGGGTGAAGATAACGGCTCTCCGGCGACCTGGCCTGTCTTTTCTGTTTCTGGGTGAGCCTGGGGCGTCTGACCACACATCGCCGTACGGAGTAGGTAGGAATGTAGGTGGTCAAGTTGCCGGTAGGTTACGTACCTTGGGTGCTTGCTAGGATCATCTACCGCAGCACTCTCGGGCCAATAACAGTCACTTTTAGCAGGGTAAAATACCTCCGCGTCCGCTGATTTGCTGCGTGCAAATGGCCCTGACTCTGTCCACAAGTTGCCACATTACAATCTACGACTAGCCTGCCACACCAGCAAAAGCAAAATGTCCGTCGCTCGGTTGTGGACAAATTGGAATGGGCGCGTCTGGCGAGATCGATTATTCGACTCCTTTATTTCGGTAATAATCGCCCTTTACCTTGCGCCTGTGATTCGACCATGTTCTCTGGCCATTCCTGCAAGTTCGTGGGGATTATGGCGATCAAGGCTTGGGTGCCACTGGTAATTTTTACGACAGAGGGTCGAAGTTGAGAGCAGAAGCACCAGACTGTGGGCGGTGGGCATACCCAACGAGACATGGGAAGGCATCGACGAACTCCGGGAAAGTTTCGTCTGACATCACGTTTCTTCATTCGAGGCATACCGTCGGCGAATTAGAAGGTAGACAGGGTCGCGCTGATACGAACAAACAGGAGACGACGACCAGGTAGGTCTGTTTGGTTGTGAGATGAAGACATGCTGATGTATTCGTCAAACGAGAAACGGAAATGAACCGATTTTGATCAGATGGCTCTGCATCGGAAAGTCAGCCGGCCGGTATTGCTGGAGAGACTTCCGGCTGTTGGGACTTTGAACAAATAACATGATGTACTCCGTAGGAACAAGTTGCTTTAAACGGAGATGGCCACATAAGTGGAGCCCCAGGTACTCTATTTTCCTTTTTCTATTTCTCTCTTTTTTACTAAAAAAAAAAAATAAAATAAAATAAAATAAAAATAAAATAAAAATAAAATAAAAATAAAATAAAATCGTCCTGGATTCAGAATCCCGAGGTCGAGACTGGATATACGCGGCATTTTCGCCGAGACATCCGACCCAGGTCGGGTTGTCATCAGCGGAGCAGTGTCTAGGTTAGGTACTCCGTACTCCATGGTGCTTTTGTGCCGCTGGGTCGGGTGTAGGCAGATATTTCAGTCGATATTTGAGGAACCAGACCGGTGAGGATAGGCAATATTATTCGCTAACCCCAAGAAACTAGCGGACCGGAAGTGAGGGGAGAATGTAAAATGGACTTTCCGCGTCAAGGGGTGTCAAATAATAATACTAACTCCTGTAGGCCACTTCTACTGCAGAGCAACCGTATCGAGATTGGAAAATGTCGAACGGTCTCATCGGGTAATCAAAGGACACATGGACTAGTCATCCACGAAATCTCCTCTGCAGTGGTGAGGCATGAGCGACATAAATTCAGAGTAAGAACATTGTCGCTGGGCGAACTGCGGTCGGCGATCCGTCTGGCCTCATGGTGGAATGGGTCTGAGTAGTGGGTTGGGGAACATGTACGGAGTGCCCATACTCCGTAGTCCTCAGTCACCACGGCGCGGCGGCCTCTTTGCTGGCTGAATTATGGCCAAGGTATCCGTGGTGGGTAAACGAGCACGTCGTGCGCGGGCTAATGCAGAGAACCAAGCTCAGTTGGGTTAGGCCGAGTGCCTTGATGGACATGCTGATCAGCAGGGCTTCCGATATGAGCGATCCAGGAACGTTCCGCACACACCCTGCAAGAGTAATTTAATATGTATGTGGCCTGAGGCTGTCAGGCAGGCTACTCCACATGGAGTTTAGACTCGATGCCCTGGTGCCTGAGGCGGTCCCCGCTGCAGCTTCCCGAAACGACTCGGCGCGTTACACCCCCGCGTTAGTCTCTGGATGATTCAAATCAACAGGCACGCAGGCAGGCAGGCAGATGAGGTAGGTGCCTACAGGAACAGCTTGAGCTGGTTTAGCACGCATCAATCTTTTTTTATTCTCCGACCCCTGTTTGTTGGGCTGGAATCTGCTCGTCTTGTAATGTTGATAGGAGCTTATTTGTTGATCACGTCCAGAACCCATTCCATTGATTCCTACCTAGACTTCCAATCAAGGAATGTCCGCACAGTCCGGGAAGTCAGTTCAGACTCATGGCTTCCAGACCTCTATTGACGTTGCGCGTCAGCAAACGTACGATGTAACTCCAGTGGCTGGCCATAAACGACTCGCGGAGTCTTCTGCGGACAACAAGCCGGAAAAGGCCCCAAGTATACGAGACACCTCCAACGCTCCCAACAACACACGCTTTCGTCAAGGTCAAGGAGTGCCCCTGGGAAAAGTTGATTTTGTTCGTCCGTCTTTGGTCCCTGGACGTAATCGTTTAGTCGCCAGCGAGATCCGCTCCGTGACGGCCACCGTCCCAGGAGCAAAGACCAGACAGCACAACGCAGACCCTGATCGACAGAAGTATGATCAGGATGGCATGCTCTTCTTGAAACATCCTCTATATAATCTGTCTCCTGCGCTGGTCGCCAATTTTGCTTCCCTTGGAATCAAGGAAATCTATCCTTGGCAGGCGTCTTGTCTACAAGCCCCCGGTTTGCTGGAAGGGACCCGCCATTTGGTATACACCGCTCCCACAGGGGGAGGGAAATCTCTCGTCGCCGATGTGCTGATGCTCAAACGCATCATCGAGAGACCTTCCTGCAAAGCGATTCTTGTGCTACCCTACGTCGCTTTGGTCCAGGAGAAACTAAAGTGGCTTAGGCGCATCGTGCAAGATGTAGAGAAGTACATTGACACCGATGAGGATCCGATGGCTCCGCTGAATCCGTATCAACAGCGCTGGAAGAAACTGCAGCGTTCAGTTCGGGTGACCGGCTACTTTGGTGGAAGCAAGACATCGGCGTCTTGGGCGGATACTGATATCGCCGTCTGCACCATAGAGAAGGTCTAGCCCCGTATGCTCCTTTCCTGTATCTTTTCTATTCATCTGACCCAGGATTCAGGCAAACTCTTTGATCAACTCGGCGATTGAAGAATGCACTATTGGAGACTTGGGTGTTGTCGTCCTGGATGAATTACACATGTTGGATGATGAACATCGTGGCTACCTCATAGAGCTGATGGTCACTAAGCTGCTGTTACTCCAGCAGAAAATCCAAATCATTGGCATGAGCGCCACGCTTTCTGTAAGTCATATCTAAGATGGTTGTGTCGAGAGTATCTGACAATATCAAGAATACGGAACTACTGGCGGAGTGGATAAATGCCAGCTACTTTGTCTCGACTTATCGACCAGTCCCCATCGATGATTATCTGGTGTTTGACAATGCCATTTATCCCGCTGCAACCTCGAGACAATTGTTTCAGACGATCACCAAACTAGCGTCAGCACAGACAGCATCCCTTACAGACACAATGCCTCCACATCGCATCGTTGAACCTTCAAAGTTTCGAGAATTTGCGAATCCCACGGCAAACGCCATGGTTGCTCTGGCAGTGGACACCGCAGCTGCCGGATACGGTGCGTTGGTGTTCTGCGGTAGTCGTCAAGGTTGTCAAATCCATGCCTCTACCATTAGTGAGGCAATGCCAGCGCAGTCTGCCGTTGACCCGGAAGAGCTTGTGAAACGATTAGATTTACTTGCTGAATTACGAAGCCTCCCTAGTGGGCTTGATCCTGTCCTCGAGACAACGCTTGTCAAGGGCGTGGGATTCCATCGTGAGTACTTGGCTATGATCAATCCATGATATTCGAGCCATGGCTGACTTTACGTCAGATGCGGGGATGACCACGGAGGAGCGGGAGCTGATTGCCCAGGCTTACGACCAGGGGGCGCTAAAAGTACTTGTGGCTACTTGTAGCCTCGCCGCAGGCGTGAATTTGCCTGCGAGGAGAGTCATCATTAACGGGGCTCGCATGGGGCGAGAACTGGTTGGACCAGCGATGCTGTAAGCTGTCATCATTCTCTTATCATAATTCTTGCTAATAGGTCAAGTCGTCAAATGTGTGGTCGAGCCGGCCGCAAGGGGAAGGATGAGGTCGGCGAGACGTACTTGATATGTGGCAAATCCGATCTTCAAGCCGTCTGCGATCTCTTAGAGGCTGATATGCCGGCAATAGAGAGCTGTCTCGCGCCGGAAAAGCGGGGTCTCAAAAGGTACGTTCGTTGATGCTGTGACTAGAACCGTCCCGAATTAACCCCGTAAAGAGCGCTCCTAGAAGCCATTGCCACGGGCCTTGTATCAGGCTATGATGCGATCAAGGAATATGTGAAATGTACCCTGCTCTACCGAACGATGGATAAGAAAATCGCGTACAGCATCATGCACTCGGCACTCGAAGAATTAATCAACGAGAAGCTCCTTCGGCAAAACGACGACGAGTCGTATGGGGCCACTCAGCTTGGCCAGGCAGTTGTCGCCTCTGCATTTGCGCCTGAGGACGGCCTGTTCGTACACGAAGAGCTGAGTCGAGCCCTTCAGGCCTTTGTGATGGATGGGGAAATGCACATATTTTACATGTTTACCCCTCTCCAGATGGCGATGAATACCCAGATCGATTGGCTAGTGTTTCGGGATCAGCTCGACGAACTCGACGAAAGCGGTTTGCGCGCCTTACAATTCGTCGGGGTACAGCCGGGTTTTGTGAATACAATGTAAGACACGCAATATGCGTCTCTCTCCGCGCAGCCTGTTGGCCCATTCGAAAATACTGATGGTTCCCAGGGTCCAGAGCGGTGCATCCCTAAAGGAGAGTACCCCCGAACAGGTGAAATTAGCTCGGATTTATCGTCGTGCGTACACAGCTTTCCAACTACGCGACTTAAGCAACGAAGTGCCGCTATCCGTCATTGCGAATCGCTACCGTATCCCCCGCGGGGCGATCCAGACGTTAGCGCAGCAATGTCATGGGTTCGCGGCAGGCATGGTGAAATTTTGTCAACGCATGGGTTGGGGCATGCTCGCCGCCGTGTTGGATCATATGCGGGACCGGCTCGAGGCCGGTGCTCGCGCCGACTTGCTGGAAATGGCGCAGGTGACTTATGTCAAAGGGTGGACAGCAAGGCTTCTCCGTGAAAATGGTTTTCGGAACTTAAGAGCGCTAGCCGAGGCTGACGCAAAAGACCTGGTTCCGGTGCTGATGATGGTATGTTGGAACTCGGATCAAATGTACCCCCTCCGATCCATACTGATGCGTGTAACAGGCGAACCCAGTCAAAGCACAGAAAAACCAGTTGGACCCTGCGGATGCTGAACGCTATTCCAAAAAGCTACTCGCCAAAGCGGAGATTATTGTCGCATCGGCCAACAAGATATGGGGTATGTTGATTCATTGCCAGTCCGCGTGCTCGTTTACAAATGGCTGACTGTTGCAGAACGAGAAATGCAACTCGAGCTGGATGAGTAGGCGGTGTTTTCTTATATACCTCTCTGTCAATACACCTCTTCTTTTGTTTGAGTTTTGGAAACAGAATTTCTCGCATCGGAATACTCTTGTGAAGCGTCAGGGTCGTGCAGTCTTATACCACTGAACAGCATGAATATCTATCTGTATACTATAGACGTGGAGCTTTGATACATGCCTGCATTGTGCGGTGACGAGCATGGGCCAATACATGAATTCGTTCTATCTGCGGAAAACAAGACATTGCTCGCTTGAATCGCAAGTATATTCAACCCTTTACGCCGTTTAGTGTATTCTGCGCCAACATGACCTCACCCTGGTCGACAAAATCCGCAAGAATCACGTTCGGCAGTCGACCATGCTCGGAACGACACAGATCAGCCTGCGCGCCGATGCTGCTATTGCCAGAGGCCGCATTTGTCCGGGACGCATGCTCCCTGTCTGGGATCTTGATGCCCAGAATATCAAGATCCAAGAAATGATTGACTATATACATCCGTCCATCGTCCGATAGACCAGGCGGTCGGTCGATACTGCAGTTCGGGAACGAGGGGTTCGTCTCGTCGTATGGGTTCTCGAAGAAATACGAGAATTCGTCGAGGATGTATGGGACAGAGGCCGTGTCGGCGCCGTAATCTACAGTCACAACCATGACATTAACAAAGCCTCCTAGGAAACTCCTGCACTTCGTGCATCGATACTAACCTAGAAACACAACCAACCGCGTCCCGTTGCCAATCAACTCTCCCAATTTGGGCCACGAGGACACGGGCAACGTCTTTGGGGACGACTCCGGCACGAACGCATACTTCTTGATGTCGGCGTTTGCGAACGTCTCGTCGAAGCGGCTGACCGGGACGCTGTCGCCGTTTGTGAGGAGAAGCGTCACCACGTCGTCAGGGTGTGTGTCCAGCCAGGACCGGACTGTGACCAGGTAGGCTTCGAGGGTGCCCGCGTCTTCGAGGATACAGGATGTGTGACATAGACGTAGGGTGTCGTTGGTGGGTGCCTTGTGGGTTTGGCCCTGGAGGAAGCGGATGCCCATGTCGAGCTGGGCCGTCACGTCGATGTTCTGGTTATGCTGGGGGAGGGGCCCGACGAAGGGGCTGTCGTGGGCGCCCATCTGGGTGAGGTTGGAGTACGGGCGATCACAGTAGGCGGATTGGCCATTGCAGGTGGCTGCTGTGACGATTGGGAGTTGGAGGAGGAAGAGCAGAAGGGAAGGGATTATGCCGGTGGGCAGGAGAGGGGACATTGCATTCATCGCGTATGTATCTCTGGCTATATGCACGATTTCATCACCATGGTCGACTATCTCGTTCGTGTGTCAGTCTTGGAACGAGATACATCCATATCCCTTGTGGGAAAGCCCCGAATTTCATGGTGATATATATGCTCTGGTGGGCAGAGTTGAGAGGCCACATTCGAATGACCGAGTCACGGAGAATGCAGAATGTTCTGTACAACAAGGGGTCAGCCGCGGCCTCTGTGCCGATGGGATCATGAGGTGTTCAGGAACATGTCACGCGAAGGAGACACGCCTAGTGATTTTATTAGCATGAGACATCGAGGTACTTTATGGCCAGGAACAGCTGGCCTTGTGCAGATGAGTTTCTGTCCTGGATAATGAAATGTCTATATGCATGTACGGCTTGGGAGAGTCGAGCACACGATCCAGTATATATTTGTGCGACTGTCATGTGTGACATACATGCAGTGACAGATGTTCTGCCCATGTAGAGTCCTGCAAGGAGATGTACTCATCATTGCGATTATTTTTTTACACCGATCCATACATTTTAAGAAACGATAAGAAGAATATAGTCGAGGGAGTAGAGGTACTTCAAGGGTACATCGAGTTAGGTGACTTCCCGTAGCTGAATGAAGTACCGCCGCCGAACCTCAAATCAACCCAATCACACCAAGTGCATCGCCCCCTCAAACCACCATCACCTAACTAGGCAGTCTACCACCATCTTCTTCTACTCCTCCCTCTCCTTTCCAATCTCTCAATTTTTCTCGTCTCCTTTCATCATTCCTCCCATCGGCTCTTTCCTTGGAATTGTACTCGCCCCATTCTATCCTCCGGATTCGTGGAAGCTCGGCTCAAAGCAGCTCCGCGGGTCGTCAGACAACTCCGTCATCACAACCTCTTCCCCAGGTCGATCCGTACCCTGCCGCCGTTACCGCCCGCGAATTCTACCGGATTTATTCGATCTGATAGCCAGAAACACAGTGGAGAAGCGATGGTAATGCGAACCTTTCGCCGATGAGCTCCATGATCGAGGGCAGTGATGACCGGGCACGAGAGGATGAGCTCGACTTGGGCCATGCCGCGGAGGAGGAAAACGGTGTTAAGGAGGCGTATAAGTCGCAAGAGCTCGTCAGCCATGCCTCAATGGCCTACACCGAAGATGACTTTCCAGTGGTAGCCAGTTCCGACCAGGAACTCGCTGGGAACCACATCTCCATCGACCCCGGGACCCCCGATGCCTCGTTGTCGCCGGGGCCCGGTCAGCCCGGCGACACCCCTGGTAGCATTGACGAAACCGCGTCCACGCCAGACGACCTCCCTTCCTTACATGTGAGTTAAATAACCGTTCCCAATCTGTTGCGTGTGGCCCGCTGATGATCCAGGGCTCTCTGCCGTCGTCGCAAAGCAGCAGCGCCTTGGCCCTGCGAAGCTCTCCTCGCCCCAGTCCTAGCCCGTCGCACCGCCCATTCGATCTTCGTTTCCAGTCTCGTCTGTCGTCCGGCTCCTTCAGCGGTTTACGATCGTCCTCGCCCTATCTAGCCCAGATACATTCTCGGAAGTCGTCGCTCACCAGTCGGCTATCCCCCGCCACTGTAGATTCCGGAGCCGACACTCCCCAAGGACCATGGGATGTAGTGCGGTGGACGAAGCTGCGCAAGATAACTGGGCAAGCCTTCTCGGAGGTTGGAAAGCGGAATTTCGGCTCTCCGACTTGTCTGGCTGTCACTACCACTATCGTCATTGGGACGTCCAAGGGGATTATCCTTGTGTTCGATTACCAACAGAACCTGAAAACAATTATTGGTACAGGGACGAAAGCGATCGAATGCGGAGCCATCGCATCGCTGGCGCTTTCTGCGGATCACTCCACGATTGCCGGAGGGCATGTCTCGGGCGATATCTTCACGTGGGAGATCTCCAAATCTGCGCGGCCTTTCCTCCATATACCCCCTATCCCCGCGAACCAAGTCGACACTCGGAGCTCTGATGGACACGTTGAGGGATCTGCTGTCATTCACATCGGCTTCCTTGGCACCAGACGCACGGCGCTGGTGTCTGCCGACAAGCGAGGAATGGCGTTTTCTCATCTGGCAACTCGAGGTATGGGCGCAGTTGGGCGTACGGTGAAGACCACGAGGATACTGGGTCGATATCCCCAACATGTCTCTCATGGGAATCGACCCCGCAAGCCGAGCTCCGTGCTCGCTTTTTCGCCCCTTCCACTAGGCAATGTCGAGCAACCGACCGATACGCTGGGACTAGTTGCCATGCTCACGCCATATCTCCTTGTCATTGTGTCTACAACGCCCGTGGCCCATACTCAGCATAAGGCGCCTCGACCGAAGGAGGTAGCTGCCCATGGCGCCATGACAGGCGCCATGGCCTGGTTCCCAGCAATCCGCCTGAAAGGGAAAGATTCCCAGACATCGAAAACGAAACTTGTGTATTGTTGGTCAAATGTTCTGACTGTGCTGGATGTCGCCGAGATGGAAACAGAGGACCCGCCCGATAGGGACCGACCCCCTACATTAGAGTTCAAGGCACGCAGCAGATGGAAGGCCGAAGAAGCTATTGTCGCCGTCCAGTGGTTAAGTCGTTCGGTGCTGGCAGTTCTCACGATTACCCAACAGCTGCTGATATTGGAGGATCATTCAATGCGGGTGACAGACGCCGTTGACCTGCTTAGCCGGCACATATACCACGTCGATCTGTTTTCTTCTCAGCTTCATTCTTTGGTCGAACAATTCAACGAAGAAGACACATCAATGCATGGCGTCGTAGCCGATGCGTTTTACATGAGCTTTCGGTCTTACAAGGGGCGACTGTTCTTGTTGGGATACAACGAAACGTTAGTCGGAGGCCTTTCAAACTGGGCCGACCGACTTCTTGCGCTCATGGAAGCAGGCGACTTCATCGGAGCGATCAAGTTGGCGACAGCTTATTACAAGGGAAACTCGGAGAAACTGACGGTCGGCCTGCCGGACGAAGATGCCCTGCGACAGCCCATCGTGCGAGAAAAGCTGCTGGAAATGGTGTCGGCATCACTCAAGTACGCATTTGGCCGAAATATGGAGGCAAGCAACGAGCGGCTTGAAAGCCGACAACTTGAGGAGCTAGCCGAAGTCTCTATCGCGGCTTGCGTTTGCATGACTGACGAGGATTTTCTCTGGGACGAGGTCTTCAACTGGTACGAAGAACAGGACTCGCAGGGGCTCTTTCTCGATGCCCTCGAGCCATATATCATCGAAGGGACTGTGTGCTCCTTACCACCAACGGCTGTCAAGGCCCTGATCACCCACTTCTCGACGAATCACACTGCTAGTCGGTTGGAGGAGATAATCTGCCTACTTGACACGACAACGATGGATATTGATCAGGTGACGACTCTGTGTAAGCACCACAATCTATATGATGCCTTTATATACGTCTGGAATCGCTGTCTGGGAGATTATGTGGGACCCCTCCAGGAGCTCTTAGGGCTTATTACGACAACCGAATCGCTGGCGAACGGAAGCTCCGCGGATGAGCTCAAGCAGTACACCAATGCGATGAAGATGTTCCCGTACCTGTCGTTCGTGTTGACTGGTCGCATCTATCCGACCGGTGATGACATGGATGATGCAGAGGCTACGAAGGCCAAGACGGCTTTGTACGAGTATCTGTTCTCAGGAAATCTGTCTGGCACCGAGCCTGGAGCTCGGTCCAAATCAGATGGCTCATTTGCAGATCTTCAGAAGATTTTGAGATTCGATACCCCCAGTTTCATGAGCATGCTTAATGAAGCGTTCGAAGATAGTTTCCTGAACGAGCAAGACACCGAGGAGACTCCGTTTCAGGGCGTCTCGATAAACCGACAATATCTGATCAGCATATTGCTTCAGATCATGAGCTCGGCATCCTTCCCACCATCCGACACCATCTATCTCGATATGTTTGTCGCTCGAAACCTGCCCAAATACCCTCAGTACATCCTACTGTCTGGAAGTACATTGCACCAGGTTCTGGAGCGATTGTGCAAATACCCTCTCCCGGAGATGGCCGAGGATTGTGAACTCAGCGCAGAGTATTTGTTGTCGATCTACCACCCCCCAGACATCCAGAGCTTGATCCCTCTGTTTAGGGGAGCACACTTCTACCGGATTCTCAAATCCACCTACCGTTCGGAAAGGCTGTTCCCAGATTTAGTCCTCACCTATCTCGAAGATCCAAACGAACAGGAAGCCGTTTTTACTTGTCTACAGGACTGCCTCCGGCCTGGTTCCCGGCTAGGTAAAAAGCAGATACGCGACGTGATGGACGTTGTCAAGAGCCATGCAGGTCAATTAGCAGCGATCAATGTCGAAAAAGCTGCGCAGGCCATGCAGGATTTCGCCCCAGAGGCCCATAAAACATTCCTCGAAGCGCTGGAGGATGACGCCTACGGCCAGTACCGGTACCTTGCGGTCATCGTTGAATCGACAATGCAGTCTGTGCCTGAGGGCCGTCCAGCAAAGCCAGTGGACAATTGGATGCTTGAGCGGTATGTCCAGTTGCTTTGCCGATACAATCCGACCCAGGTTGCCGACTTTGTGGATGAGTTACGAGTGGGAGATGTCCGACTGGAAGAACTCTTACCGTCGATGGAGGAGAGTGGTGTTGTGGATGCGGCCGTCATTCTCCTGGCCCGACAGGGCGAAGTCAGAGCAGCCATGGACCGCCTGATAACCCATTTGGGGACCCTTGAGTCGGGTCTTGTAGGTATCCTGCAGAGTATACAGGAGAGCCCGGACTCCGCCAGCACTGCCGAGGCTATCAACGATCTTGTCGAATCCTTGGAGAAATATGCACGGGTCGGGACGTGGCTCTGCCAGGGGCAGACGAAAACCGCCCGAAAGCCACGAGCGCCTGAAAGGAACGGGTCTAAGAAGCATGCTATGGATCAGGCCCTGTCTTTCGATGAGGAGCTTTGGCTAGACCTTATCGAGGCGGTCGTTCGCATTGCGAGCAGTGTCTTTGCGCGGGTCCACAAAGGACATGCCGAGCACAGTATGACAGAACTGGCTCCGATTGCGCCTCACTTGGCAGGAAGCAATGCTATTCAGTTGATCACATCGTTCCGCAACTTGGTTCAGCAGGTCTTCAGCGCTTTGCTTTCCAGCACGGTGCGAATCGGCGGAGGATCGGCAAACGGCGAACGCAGCGATGTTGCTTTCCTTCGCATCTTGCGAGCATTTCTCACCCGCGCCGCCCGGTGGTCCCCTTCTCTGCTGGAGCTCCGAGCCGTGCTGGCGTCCATCTTCTCCGCCTACACCTATGAGAAATCGCTCCTTGCGCTGGCCAACGGTATGCTCGACCGAGATCTCTTTGTCCATGTGGACGAGGTGACCAGGCTGCGCCAACGGGGATGGCGCCCGCGAGGACAGGTGTGTGAATTGTGTCGGAAACGTATCTGGGGGCCTGGCGTAGGATCCCAGTTCTGGGACGCATGGAAAACCCAGCAGGCGGAATGCCAGAAACATCGACTTGCGCGACGACTGGAGGGACAGCTTGATCCCGCGAGTGCACGCGGGAAAGGGAAGGGGGTTGCCGTGGCCGACGCTGATCAGGCGCGACATATGATGCATCTTCACGAGGGCCGTCATAGTGAAGAGAACCAGGATGCAGTGGATGGGGGGTGGAATCCCTCTGGGGATGGCCACGAGATGCCTGCGGCAGGGCCTGCGGTGGTGTTCTCCTGTCGGCATCTCTACCACCGCCAGTGTCTGCTTGAGCTAGATGATCCTAGCGGACGGGGGAGGCGAGCGCCTGGCCACCGCTTCCCGGCCGAAGGACCAGATTGGGAGGGTCTGTCGTGCCCGGTTTGTCCTGTACATAGCGATGACCATCATCATCATCATACTTGACGCCCTTAATCGAGCCTATGTATCTATTAGTCCCGTGTGTTCTTTGATATCCCTGTTATGCATATTATCATCTTTATTTCCGTCCTTCTCTTTTTGTGGATGGTGGCAACATGACGGGAGAGGCGGGCTGATCCATGGGACGGAGTGACTGACCATAATTTAGGCTCATCAATTAGCGGCGGATGATCGATCGGATGTGCCGCCCGTCTGGCGATGCGTCGGCTGACCAGATGAAGTCGAAGAGGCTTACGGAGTAGTTATACAGCCCTGATGACAAAGCACATCCCCCCTTGCATCTTTCTTTCTGCATCTTCTGCATCTCGGGATCTTTTCCTGTCCTTCTCCACTGGGTTCGAACGCATTCGGCATCTGCAGCTGCTGGCTTTGTGACGACGATCACGTCGTCCCGCTGATGCAGAGCGCTTCTCCTCCACAGCTTATTGGATCTGCTGGATTCCCGCGTGCCTCTTAGCTCCGACAGATGGATGCCCGGTGATCGTCACTTTCTTCGCTCTGGTTCGATCGGCCCCAAGAGTCACTCACGCCTTTGAATTTCGCCGCATTCCAATGGCTTACCTGTTCTCCCCACCTTCAGCTGGTCTGTGACAACGACTGTCGGACACCGGGACACCTTCGACTCATGCTGTGTCGGATCAACCCCGCAAGCCTCCAACCAGGACCGCCCACCTTAATGCATCCACACAACAAGGGGTCTGAAGCTTGTCCGACGACACTTAGACACCGAGGAGAAGGCCCGTGTCGCCGTGTATCCATGGCTCCTGGCTGACGCGCTCCGGTGGTACCTCAGGGGTGACACAGAGGACGGCCTGTACTCCGTCGTCATCTCTCATTCTCCGAACTCGATCGTTTGGTTCCGAGTCCGTCTGCATCCTGGTTGTCGTGAACTCTATCCGGCCGTCGACTAGAGGAAATCCTCCGGTTCGCCTATCATTGCCACCGACCCGGAAGGTATGGAATTCATCATTGATTGTTATCTTTGCCCGGTTTTTCTTTGACGCTCTACCATAGTTTCATCCAGGAACGCTATCTCCCATTGGTCCGCATGCCGTTTCTTCAGACATGAATCTTTATCCGTTCACATGGACCTCCATTTTTGAGGCCGCCCTTCTCCACGCCCTGTCGACACACATGGCTCCTGGTCTAACAGGTCTCACGGCCTGGTCGGGTGGGCGCGTCATGGCGGACGCCACGCTTCGATAGTGGATGTCAAGAATGGAAATCTCGCCCTGCGCCTGCGGTGACAGAATATAAATATGTTGGTTGCCTTCGTCCCCAGACTGGAAGTAAGCCTCTCTCCGTAACACACGCTCCTTTGTGCCACAAGGCTTCATGCCGCCGTTCCTTTAACAATCCGCTATATATACCCACTCCATCGGTATAAACATACACCTTCTCTTGCCTGGATACAACAGTACTGGATACTGTCTTCCATTCGTGGTAGATCCTCCCAGCACCAAGAATCCCAACCAACCCGTACAAGATGTATCTACTCCCTACCCTTCTGCCAATCCTGGGACTCTCCACCCACCTCGCCGCGTCGTATTCCCTGGTGGACGACTTCGGCACGGGCTCGTCCTTCTTCGACAAGTTCGATTTCTTCACCTCCACGGATCCCACCCACGGCTACGTCAAGTATGTCGACCGCTCGACCGCCACCGCTGATGGCTTACTCTCCTCGTCCAACGCCTCCGTCTACATGGGCGTTGACTACAAGAACGTCGCCAGCGGCGGCCGCGAGAGCGTCCGCATCACCAGCAAAAAGAGCTACACGCACGGGCTCTTCATCCTGGACCTGGCGCACATGCCCGGTGGCATCTGCGGCACCTGGCCTGCCTAGTACCTCCCCCACCTCCCCTCCCTCTACCTCCCCACAACGAAAGACCGCCGGCTAACAGCAAGTGATAGCTGGCTCCTCGGCAGCACCTGGCCCACCAACGGCAAATCGACATCATCGAAGGTGTGCACGACCAAACCCACAACGCGATGACCGGCCACACCACCGACGGCTGCAGCATTAACAGCTCCGGCTTCTCCGGCACTCTAACCACAAGCAACTGCTACGCCTCCGCGCCGGGCCAGGCCGCCAACGCCGGCTGTGGCATCACCGACGCCTCGGCGACGTCCTACGGCGCCGGCTTCAACGCCGCCAACGGCGGCGTCTTCGCCACCGAGTGGACCTCCGACGCGATCAGTATCTGGTTCTTTCCGCGCGGACGCATCCCCGGAAATATTGCGGGCGGGAACCCCGATCCGGGCTCGTGGGGGACGCCCAGTGCGCGGTTCGCGGGGCAGTGCGATATCGATGCGCATTTTAAGGCGATGCAGATTGTATGTGTTCTGTGTTCTTTCTGCGGGTGCTGGCCGGGTTAGGTTTTAGAATGCGGCTGACACTGGCAGGTCTTTGATACGACGTTTTGCGGCGACTGGGCCGGCGCCGTCTGGGGCTCAACTAGCTGTGCGTCCAAGGCGTCGTCCTGCGACAACTACGTCGCGAACAACCCGTCCGCTTTTCGGGATGCCTACTGGTCCATCAACTCGCTCAAGGTTTATCAACAGGGTAGCTCGACTAAGCGCCGGCCCCAGGATGCCCCGTCGAAGCCGTCCGGCTTTGTGAAGATGCGTCAGCATGCGAGACATGGTCATGTCGCGTAGTCTGTCATTGGTTTCATAGTGTTTGATGGACGGTCTCGGTGTTGGAGCTCTTAGTATACCCTTTCGTTTTTGATATGATTAGATGATCGACGATGGATTCGTCTGTACGTACTCATACTCTCGCTAGGTTATATATATCATTGACATCTCTGTCCATTGGTTATGCATACTCTTTATTACTTGTAGTAGTGGACTGGACGAAAAAAACTATATACACATTATATCATAAGAATGCAACGTGGGAATCAAACAATGCAATGGCAATGACAGAATGCAACATCAACACAATCGTCACGCCGGCCATCTAATAACAATGGGGGGAAATATACATGAACACATGAGCGAATGCAATACAGTAAAGCGAGGTAACGTCATCACGGTCTATACCCAAGCGTATCTCGCTGGTCATCCGTGAGCCGTCCCCACTCGAGAAGCAGCCGGAAAAAGTATATCTCCATGTCTTCCTTACGGATGGCTTTTTGTGCCCACTTGCGACCTTCCTCGGCTATCCAGCGGCCTTCAGTGTCATGGGGCTTGAGGAGGACCTCGCGTTGCCCGATGCTGTCAACCCCGACAGTGATGTCGACACCAGCAAAGTACGCCAGGGTGCTCCACAGACCGTGGAGTCGCACATCAATAGGAACGAAATGCAGCCATGCCGTAATGCGACTGTCGAACCATTGCCGGAACAGCCCGGTCTTGAACGGAAGGCTGTGGCTCTGCAGAAAGGGGAGGAAACGCCCGCTGAAACCTGCGCCGTCCGCATCGAAGAGGTACCGGTGTCCCCAGTGGCTTTGGAACTCGACGCGCCCTGCGGTGCCGAGTTCGGCCTGCTGGTCATTGCAATCCTGTCTGCACCGCAGAATCGGGTCCGTAAGGTGCACAGAGGCATTCAGGCCGTAGGTGTCCGCTGGGGCTTTGCCCTTGATGGTGTGATAGACAAAGGTATCCGGGTCGCTGGTTGTGGGGAGGAGAAGGGAGACATCGTTGTAGGTGTTGTTGTTGACGAGGTGGCTAAGCCGTTGTCGCGGGATTCCTTTCCACTCGCCATTGATGCTCATGCCTTCGGAAGTGCCGCCAATCCAGAACAGGTCGTTTGACTTGTCCTTGTAGTCCATGTCAGGGTTTTCGGCGGACGGTTCGTACTTCACCTTGTCCACATAGTTCCAAGGACTCGGGAATAGAATATCGCTAAACCCAGAAACCGATCCCTGACTGAAGACTGGGACTAGGTCTTGCGTGACCCTGAAGGAGGCGGGCGAGATGAAGAACCCGTGTAGGAAGGCCAGATCGGGCTGGTGGCAGATGTCCGAGGCCACTCTCCAATCGGAGGGGAACTGACCCAGCGAATGTGGGCGAACACAATGGACGCAAAGATTCCGCCGATCCCAGATACGCTGAGATCGAGCTTTCGACGAACGTGGGCATGTGGCACTCACATATCGGTCGAAAATGTTTTTGAAAGAGCTGTCTATAAACATCGTCTCCGGCGTCCGATCCGCGGGCTCGATAGGTGCCCAGCCTTCATCTCGATTCCTCGACCAGCTGTTGACTATCGCCTCGTCGGGAGGCGCTTGCTGCGATCGTACGAAGCTCTTCATCACAGACATCTTCTCCCAGGGAAACTGCAACACGAGGCTCGTCATTCAAGTTTGAAGGCCAGATCCATGTCTGGAAGATGTTCCCCAAAGTTTCTGATTATGTCTGCCGCACCAGGACCCATCCAAGCATGCGTTCGGTTTGAAGCCATCCTGGACCCCGAACCGAAACCGTTCCAAATGCTGATTGCGCCAATATCATTGAGCGGGTCGTGGTCCAATCTTTGGGTGAGATCCCGGATCTGCGCGGGCTCCAGAGCCCGGAACGGTAGGATGTCGTCGTATATTTGATCGAAATCGTCGATAACAAACAGACGATCTGTTCACAGCATATTCATACCATTTGTCGAACCCCACTAAGTCTGGTCAGGCCCCTTCCCATCTCGTGCGGCAATTGGGACAACTTACGGAGGTGGGTGTTGGTTATACCGCGCTCGGTACTGCTCCACAGCCTCTGCAAGGGTTCGACTCCCTTTAGCTTCGGATGCCCACTTTTGATGGTGTTGCCGACCCTCATAGATGAGCAAATCGATCGGGTGAAGGTTAACATCGCTAGGCTGGTGGGTAACCAAGATTAGGCCCACTCCAATCATGAACGTAAACAGTAATCGCAGAAAGAAGTTTGAACCCATATAGGAACTGAGGCTCATCTTCGGAGGCTGTTCGGCCAAAGAGGAAGACCATCACACCCGCGAAAGCGGACAGAAGTGAGAGAAACGCTTGCGAAGCACGAATCAATGGATAGGGCTCTTGTCCATTGAACAGTTCCGAGGACCACGTAAAGTAAACGGAGAGGAATCCACCAAATATTGTGAGGCCCACAACTCCGTAGTAAGGGATCTGAGTCGCGTTAATGACGATCGGGGACGAGAATAGCCTTGTCGCTTACTATTTGAGACGCGCAAACGACTATCAGAGTCGCGAGGACTGCCTGACTCACAGCGCTTCGCAGATAATGTGAGCTAACGAAATCACCACTGCTCTCGGTGTAGTGCTTTATAGTAAGCGTAGTGATTGTCCAGAAAACGGCCACTCCCTGAATAGCGAAGTCAGAACTAAGCCAGATTTCCATTGTCTGCAGTCTGATTTGGCCAAACTCACGAGAAAGCAATATCCCCATGAAACCAGTGCGTTTTTTCTTTTCCCGGCTCTTACACCGTCCCCGGACAGTTCCGCAGCGCCGACTAGTATTAAAAAGTCCAGAATGACCGTGCCGATTTTGGCCGTCCGCATTAGCGAAAAGTGGTTCGAAGTGATGGAGCAGATGTAGGTTGTGCGTCTGGCTTCCAAGAAGGAGTTGGTCAACACGGCAGCGAGGAGAAGTAAGGTAGCTGATATGACATATCGGAGACGTCTGTGGCAAAAGCTGGAAATGGCAGGCGACTAAGATCCGGATACTACTCGGCGGAACGGGAGGGGATTTGAAGGGACCTTTCGGGCGGCGCTCCCATTTTGGGGATAGACCTGGTACCGCTGGTTGGCGCCCAGTAAATCGTATATCGCAACGAAAAAATGGGATCACGCACTTGCATCGGAGCCGTCAAGTCAGTAAGGGTATAGACTCGTCGGAGTTCGTTTCTGGAGTGATGGACTTACAGCGTAACCAGAAGGTGCACACTCAGTGTAGCGAGTCAGTTGGTGGTAAAGGGCGATGCGCATACAGCCCCAAGATAGAGAGAAGGCCAATTGCTTTCCAGCGAGTCGTATGGGGTTTTCCCAGTGGAGGCGATCGTATCGCTGACATGGCTGAGAGCTGGGGACGCCGCCTCAACTGATGGTCGGTCGAATTCTGCAAGTGGGATTGAAGAGTACTTCTGGATCGGAGAGGAAATCTGTGGTAGGCTGTGGAGGAATCGGCTTAATATTAACAGGGAGAGGCCAGCGAGGAAACATGCGAGAACGGCAGTTTCGAGGGGATGATCTGCTCGGAGCGTGTTAGCTGTGGCCGAGATAGAAGGTACCCCTTCACTCTCCCAGAGTCGCGCGAAGGCTCGCGCTTTCGTTCCAGAACAGCATATGATCGGATGGGCTCACCGAAAGCAAACGTTGTCGTGTACGAAGTCGTGATGAACATGCAACTCAATAAGAACACTCTGCGGGCGGCGTTAGCTCCAGCGTCGAGGAGATCGGGGAGCGGCGTCTTTGTTTACCCTACTGAGGCGCGAAGCCCCGATTCAGGAGAAAAGAAAGTCATTTCGAAAATTCATGCGCGAGAAGAACCGAAAGCCATTATCGCATTGTCTGGAGCTTCACA